AAAGGCCTGGAGACTAAAATGAATGAAGAACGGTTGGAGGATTTGGGTATGGCTAGTCTAAAGAAAAGAAAGACTAGGGATAACATGAATAGTCCAGTATTTGAGAGGCTGCCACAAAGAGGAGGAGGTCAACTTTTTCTCCAAAGCACTAGAGGGCAAGACAAGAAACAACAGATGGAAACTAACCAAGGAGAGAAGCAACCTGGAACTAAGGAGAAACTTCCTCACAGTGAGTTAATTAACCAGTGGAACAGCTTTGCCTTCAGAAGTTGTGAGTGCTTCATCACTGGAGGTTTTTAAGAAGAGACTGGAAAGTCTAAAACCGTATAGGGACCCTTGAGTTTAGGGACTATAAGACTTCCAAGGTCCCTTCCAGCTCTAGTCTGATTGCTTAAAGTGATATTATTCCACAGAGCAGGAGCCATCGCCAAGAATGGTCCTCTTCTTAGGTTCCACAATAGATGGGGCACAATAGTGTGTTCACTCTAGCTGACCTGATCAGATGGCCAGATTGATGGTCCCTCAAATTATCAGGCCTGATGCCCTGCAGCTAATTGGCAACCAGTGCAGCTCACGAAGCAGTGGGGATATGTGTGCATCCCACAGACTACCCATCACTGCCCTGTGCCCCTGCATTCTGGACCGATATAGCTTCCAAGTGATTTTCATGGGCAAGCCCCATGAAATATTACAGCCCCATACTGCATCAATCCAGTGGAGAGGTGACCAATGTATGAGTGAGTACTTGAAGGCCCTTCCGGCCAGGAATGGGTGCAACTGAGGCACAAGGTAAGCCTATATCTGCTCTTTGAGCAGGAGCTGTGAGTCCAAGAGGACCCTTATATGGTAGATGATGGAGGGTCCCTGGAACCAAAGAAGTCAAACAACCCAACCTTGCAGGTATTCAATCTATTGATAGCAATTCTGGGTTTTCCTTCCCCAGAGAGTTTAAGAAATGTTTGGATAGACACTTGGTGAGGATGACTTGATTGGTTTGTTGACCTTTGCAGAGGATTAAGCTAGATAGTCCTTGTAACTCAGCTCAACAATTCAAGGCATTCACAGTTTCCAGGAAAAGGTGTAAAAGCAGCAACACTGGACTGACTTCTCTTCAAAAGTTTTCCCCAAGATGCTTTTTCAGGAGGCAATTGGACTTTCTGGTTTTTTTTAAAGACATTATGCTTCTCATCCAAGAAGCTTCTTCAGCTCTGACAGGATAGTGGGGAATGGAAGGATTTATATTCCTTGCTGACAGCATATAAAAAGAATATAAATCCTTCAATTCCCCATTATCCTTTCAGAACTGAAGAAGCTTCTTGGATGTGAAGCAGAACATCTTCAAAAGAAAAAAATAAGGAAGTCCAGTTGCCTCCTGAAAAAGCACCTTTGGGACAACTATGGATGACGGAGAATCCCTACAGACTTCAAGAGTTTTGTGCAGGCCATCATTCTTACTGCCTTCCCTCTCCCACCACATCTTTTCTGTTCAGCCTTGGGCTGACATGCCTCCAGTTTTTTTGTTGTTCTTTTTCCTTGTTGCTTTTCTTGAATGAGCCTATGGCATTGCCTTTCACCCTTTTCTCACCAGTCCTGAAAGACTTTCTCCCTTCAGTCGCTGGTGCTCCAGGAAGCAAGTGCCAATAGTCAGGTATCTGAAGAAGGTGAATGGAGAGAAGAGGAGAGATTCCTGACAATAACCCTGCCCTGAGCCCTGAAGGGCTTCAGGTGGGAACCAGCATCTTAATTGCACCCAGAAGCCCACTGGAAGCAGCGTAGCTTATGGGAGTTGCATCCACAACTGTCCACATCTTTTTGAACCAGCTGGGGTTCCAAGTGGTCTTCGAGGACAGCACATTGCAGGGGTCCATTTGGGGGTGACCAAGGCATGAGTCACCCTGAGTAAGTCCTCCCAATTCAGGAAAGGCTGTAGGAGCCTCACCAGCATTGCAGGCAAAATCTGCCCAGCTCCAGGAGTTCGATCTTGACAGGCTCAGGTTGACTCATCCTTCCATCCTTCCGAGGTCTGTAAAATGAGAAGCCAGGCTGTTGTGGGCAATAGGCTGACATTTCTAAACTGCTCAGAGAGTGCTGTGGAGCAGTTATATAACTCTGAATGCTACTGCTAAAGGTTGCAATTGATGCACAACAAATCTGTGCAAAAGTCCTCTTGCCCAACACTGCCACCTGTTCCTTCAACAGGAGCCATGAGTCCAGGAAGACCCCAAATTCTGTACAAGCTGTACCTGGACCAAGAACTAAGAATGAATCAAGAACTCTGGATCCATGGGGCCTTAAAACCCAAAGCCACTTGGTCTTGCTAGGATTGGGTCCTCCTCTAGGCACCAAGAAAGGACCTCAACAGCATCACTTGGTTGGCCAGGGCTAGCAGAGATGTGTAACTGGTCATCTCCAGCATACAGACTGTACTTAAGCTTGTGCTGGCAGATGGCCCCACCCAGTGGTTTAACTCTGGGGATAAATAATGAAAATTGTGGGGCGGGAGAATTCTTCTAAGAATTTCTCTACCTTGTGCAGGGATGTGTTTGTTTCACTGGTGTTTCAATAGCTAAAATTTTATTTTCTTGCCATTGATAGTTTGCAGACTGGATAAGCTGATTGTATAATCCTGATTGCGTTTTTAGTTCATCGTGGAGCTTTTCAGGATTATGCTCAGGCAGTTTTTAGTTTGAAGATTTTGGGGGATCTTCTGGAATGTTTTTGACTCCGATATGAAAAACTTCATGCAGTGAAATTGCATCCATGTTTACTCTGATGTTGATCTCAGGGTTCCATGTGACTTACTCCCAGGGAGATATGCAGCCGAGCTATTGAAGCCTAAAAAGCAAGACTGAGAGGGGGAAATCCAACACGGTTACAACTTTTGCAATGGCTGGGGGAGGGGTGGGGTAAGGAAGAACCCCATTGTGGAGGGGAAAGGAATTATTCCAGAGCTTCTGCTGTCAAGAAATGTGATCAGCCCTGATTTGGCAATTCAGAGACAGGACTTCTCTGCACTCCATCCTGGGCCAGTTTTCAAGCAGTGAAGCAGTTCTGTGGGTATCTGTGAACATCAGTTGTGGGAAAAGTGCAGGGCTCTTGCCCTGGGAGAGGAACCCTTGGACTTCAGCCCATGACCCACCCATTAGCTGGGGTGGGTGGACAATCTGGAACACAGGTATACACACACACACACACACACATCAAAAAAGTCTACACCACCACAAAATGTATTCCTACTCCACAATTTGTGCTGTCTATATACCGTATTATTTTTGCTTAAAACAAAGAGTATGAAGCAGAACTGTAATACACAAAGACCTACAAGAGTCCACATGGATGGACATGCACACTCTTCTTCTGCAGATTGTGTAACATTCTGCATGTTGTACATATTTTCTTAATATCCTTATCTTACTCCTGCAAATATACATCTACGTATATTTATTATGGCTTTGCTAATCCAAAGGAAAGACCTGGGTTTCTTCAGGCTTCTCCAATTTGCTTCCTGTCCTTTTGAAAACCTGTGTGCCATCTCTCAGATAGCGGTCAGCATTGGCCTTTCATCCCTTCAGAGCAGAACTTTCAGAGAGGAGGGAGGACCAGGGTTGCATGAGGAGCATGTGGTCCATTCCGCTAGAAAGTACCAACAAGTTCACCACTGGCTGGAGTTACACGTATAAAGTGAGGATGTTGTGCCTGTATCAACACAGTTAAGCAACAGTGACTGATAGAAGATTTGTAGCTCAGGGTTGACATGAGGGATCCTCGGTTCTCTCTGAGCTTGCTTGTTTTCTTGCAGATGTTTCATTACCCAACTAGGTAACATCATCAGTGCTAGACAGAGAGCACCAAGGACCCCTCACTGATAGAATGTTATAGCATCCTGACCAGAAACTGACTATCTTCCCCAAAGGAGAAGGAGAGAGGAACTGGTGTATAGACAGCTACAAGCTTACCCTCCCCACATCTACCATATAAACCAGTGAAGTGAGAGGAGCCTTAAATGAAGGAAAGCAGAAGGAGATGCACCCTGAAGGCACCAGGGCTGTTGCATTGGTCTTGTCTTCTGGTGCATGCCTCCTCCTCCTCTATCTCCTTTTCATCTTCTTCTTTCATTCCCCCTCCCCCTCCTCCTCTTACTACCATTACTACTACTACTACTACTACTACTACTACTCCTGGAGGTTCTAAGCAGAAACCCCCATGACTGGCAGGTCGTTTCATGACATGAAGCCACTTGGTGTAATGACCAGTTTTTATTCAGGGACTGGACAGAATTGAATTCACTTCCTAAAATGCGCTCTTTTCTCAGCTTAAGTTCTTTCTCAGAAATGGTTGAATGGCTTAGAACAGACCCTTTTCCAGCTCTCAGTAATATACCTTCTGGGAGGGGGTCTCCACCTTGGGACACCCCTCCTCCACAGGGACTCCTCCCTCTGCTCTATTCAGAACATCAGAACTTGTGGGTGCTCCATCACTGGAGATTTTCAAGAAGAGACTGGGCAGCCATTTGTCTGAAATGATATAAGGTCTCTTACTTGTGTAGGAGGTTGGACTAGAATATATCTTCAGGGTCCTTCCAACTCCGTTATTCTATAGAGCTGGTCTGGACCCATCCAACTGGAAGGGGTGTCTTTGAGGTAGACCATAAAGGAGTCATTATGTGAAGTGGCATCAGAGCATGAAATCAGCTGTTTTGGGCATATAATAGACAAATCAGTTAACGTGTGTGTGTGTATAAATGGAACTGTTTCTGCTTGTGGGTATTTTTATCCCATTCTCTCTATTTCTAGACAGCGGAAGCTCTGCCAATAACCGGGCTGGGGATTCTGCTGGGGGAACAGGACAGGTATGTTTTATTACAACCAAACAATCCAAAACACTATTTTTAAAGACAATACCTTCCTAAATTCAAACTTTTGGCCCCAAACTTTTCTCTCTCTAAAATTGGCTGTGCCAGAAAAGCTCTCCTTGCTTCATTGGGCCTTTTTGTTCTTTAGGAACCGGCTGAAGCTCTTCCGGAAGGGCCAGAATATGAGCCCAGCCGACATGTACCGCTGGAAGCTCTCTTCCCACGAGCCCTGCAGTTCCACATGCACCACAGGTGAGCAGCTCTCCAAAGGGCCTGTGGGGGGAACCCTCGGCCAGTCTGCTTGGGAAGGGAAGCAGGCCCAGCTAGCCTCATGAAGGGGCCCACAGTCCAACCTGCAACTTTAGTGTGCAGGCTTTCAAGGAGAGCTGATGTGCCATGGCAGAATCCAAGCATGGAAGCAGCCACTTCCACACAGGAGCACATACACGCCCCTCCCAGCTGATTTTTTGCCTGTTTGAGGCCTTTTTCGCCCTCTTGGAGGCTTCAGGGAAGCCTCTGCAGCCTTTGGAGGCCGAAATGGGCCCGTTTTTCCAACGCCTGCAGAGGCTTCTCTCAAGCCTCCGGGAGGGTGAAAAAGGCCTCAAACTGGCCAGTGCAGGTAAGTTTGGCTGGGGCTCGTGTGCCCGCACAAATGGCTCTGCATGCCACATGCCATAGGTTCGCCATCATGGGCATGTAGGGACAAATGACACAAAACAAAGACTTGAAAACAATATTTCTAGGCAAGAAAGTCAGGGACTTAGGTGCACAAGTAGGTTTTTCATCTATACTGCCAACAAAAGGACAACATCCAGAAAGAGAACAGAGGATTCTAGAAGTGAACCATTGGCTAAAGGATTGGTGTCGCCAAAAATACTTTGGATTCCTGGACTATGGTCTATACTATCTCCATGATGGGCTTTTGGTAAGACAAAGACTGGGAAGAATGTTTTCGGAAAACGACTGGCTCAACTTATCAGGAGGGCTTTAAACTAAAATTGGGGGTGGGGGCAGACCGATTTTTAGGATCTCCAGGACCTAATTCCAAGCAAAAACCCCCAGAAAGCAAGTCAAATAATAAAGTAAGGAGGGATGTAAGGAAATAAGGAAGACAAACTCAGACTCCAAATAGGAGGCATAGGAAGCATATCCAGAGTCAGGCATAAAGACCTCAAGCGCTTATATATAATTGTGTTTTTCTACTAAAAGCCTTATGCAGACCAGAACAGTCTGCATGCTGGAAATGGATCCAACACAGCCACCTGATCTGAAATAATTCACTGTGCAAGGAGCACAGTAGTCATGCTTAGAGGCAATATTTTCTCAAGTTGCAACAGCTTAAGTTTTTACCAACTCTCTTAAGAGATGTTAGATTTACTTTGTTTTCAGACAGAATGGAGGTCATAAATAATGCTGCAGACCAGAAATGGTGAATAAATTTTCTCAGAGTACAAACTGAACCTCATAATTGTTTTCAATGAAGAATTCCTGTTAAGAAGCTCAAGAACAGCCCACCTGAGTCAGATTAAGTCTGGGAACTGCCAGATGCTTCAGGCTCAGGAAACAAGGATGCCTCTTTTGGACTTTTCTTTCCCTGAAACTGTGATTTAAACTGTGATTTTGCATTTCCTCCTTCGGGTGAGGAGAGCACCTCTTTCTCCTTCTGTCCTGGCCACTTTTTACTGCATCCCTGTTTGGTCTGGTGGCAGCAGTGCCTCAGATAGAAAGTCCCTACGGAGAGTGGTGAGGACAACAGAGATGATTATAGGAAGCTCACTTCCCATTGGAGACAAACACCAGGCATTTCCATAAGTGCTGGACAGAATATGTGCTCATTATTCTGGTCATTTTGTAACATGCTCGTTTATAATGAATGAATTCCTGGGTCATTTCTTGAAAAGGTCCTTTCTATGTAAGGAAAAGGGATTCAGAGTTGATCAGTTGATTTACTCTTCTAATCATGTTAGATTAACTTTTTAAAGAACTTTAAAGAACTGCTAGAGGTGGGTGAGTGAATTGAATATAGTAATAACAGAATTTATTGTTGGAGTTTTGGGTATAAAGTACAGGAGCAATTTTCCTTTCTCTTATTTTCTTGGATGAAATTGCCAAAAGTATTAAAAAAGGTGGTCTTGCCCCAAAAAATTCCCATAACTGACATTAAAGGAAAAATGTTCCCTCGTTGTGTATGCCATGCCCCTAAATTTCCCAAGATCTTTCCTATGTCTTCCATGCTCCCCACCCCAGGAAGATTTCTTGTGAATGCCTGGACAAATGATTTGGGAGTGAGGGGGTCTTCAAGTCAGTTTTGGACCCTGGCAATGGGCTGGACTGGTCCCTTCTGGCATGGTTTTCAGAGGTGGTTTGCCAGTGCCTACTTCTACCTGGGGCTGAGGAGCGGGGCTGGCCCAAGATCCTCCCAGTGGGCTCCATGACCAAGGTGGGACTCCTTGATGCCCGAACCACTAGACAAGCTGGCTGACTTGAAAAACAAGGCAAGGTTTTCTTCTCCCCCAGTGTGAACAAACAGAACGCTCTCTTTCCCACTATCTCCTCTTGGTGAATGAGCTCAGAGTCCATCACTGCTCTGCAGGGGTTAGAGGGACCGGGGCTAGTCATGCAAGGTGATAAAAGGGGACAGGAGGTGCCTTGACTTTCACTGATGCTATGGTTCAGAGGGTGCAGTGGTGATTGTGTGTGTGTGTGTGGGGGCTTCTGGATGACATCTGTGCAGATAGATAGCCGTGGCAGTGAAGGGCTGGTTGCTTTGGTCTTTCTGACTGCAGGAATGATGTCCACCTATGCCATGTGCATCCGCTATGATGGCACAGAGGTGGAGGACCTTTTCTGCGACGCAGCCACGCGGCCTGAGCCCATCCATGAGTTCTGTGCGGGAAGAGAATGCCAACCCAGGTTTGTCTTCTTCCCTGCTTGGGGAACCAAAGCCCAGAGGCAGCTGGGCAGCTTTTATTCCCAGGAGCAGTCTTTCTGTGCTTAGAATATTGCCTGGCCCCTCCGGTGAACAGAAAGGCGGCGGCAATGCCAGGCTTTCTGCCTGTCCCCCTCATGAGAAGCCAGAGATGGACCACTGGCAGGAATGGTGGATTGACCATAGAGGCAGGTCTCGGGGAGGAGGACATAGCCCGGTTGATGGCTAGGATAGACTTTCCTGCATGAAGTCAAGAGATTCTCCCTCTGGAGTGTCAATATTGGACAGCCACAGCACCACCATGAAACGGAGGGAGGGAGCTTGGTTGATTATTGGAGTTCATGACTGCAAAGCAAAGGTAACTAGAGAAATAAAATGCTATCCCAACCGTTCTTCCTATGTTTTAGTCTCTAGGCCTCCTTTAATCATGTTAATTGCTCTTCTTTGCACTTTTTCCAGTCTCAACATCTTTTTTTGTAACGTGGTGACCAAAACTGTCTTTGGTCATTCTTTGCTTTCCTGACCAGATTTGCAGATTCGGGCTATCTGCTGATATTCTGCCTTAATTATGTGTCCCTTTTTTCACTTTTTGTACTTAACCTTTTTGGCTTTCAGTTTATCAGAGAGATCTTTGTGCAACCATGCTGGTTTCCTCTTGGATTTCCTGTTTTTCTTTTTCAGTGGTATTGTGTTGGACTGGGCACTGAGGGGGCCTGTGATTGGAGTCTGGTCAAAAGGCAGCTTTGGCAATTGATATCAAATCCGTGCACCTTGCAACAGAAGCAGGCACATCTGAATGATGCCAACATGCTCTGAAGTTGGAGCATGAGTGTTTTTTTAAAAACGGCTTTTGCTTTAGATGACATTTTGAGCCAACCTCACTTAAATGGGCCAAGACACCCCCATCCCTTTTGGGAGATGAAGGATAGCAAAACCAAACCTGATCACAATCCTGGTCATCCTGGCCTGGCCATCCTCATCTCACTGTTCCTCATCCTGTAACACCACCTTGCCTTGGACAGGTGGGAGACCAGCAGCTGGAGCGAGTGCTCCAGGACCTGCGGAGAAGGCCACCAGTTCCGAATTGTCCGCTGCTGGAAGATGCTCTCACCGGGCCTGGACAGCTCCGTCTACAGCAACCTGTGCGAGTCAGCCGACATCGCTCGGCCGGAAGAGAGGAAAGTCTGCAAGAACCCGGCCTGCGGGCCACAATGGGAAATGTCTGAGTGGTCTGAGGTAAATTCTGGCTGAGTGGCCTCTGTGCTTTGATCCCAGCAAGCTCTGTGGATCACCTAGCCCAGGGGCCTACAACCTGCGGCTCTGGAGCCACATGCGGCTCTTTCAGCCCTCTGCTGTGGCTCCCTGTTGGCTGATCCCACCATTGGCTGGCCCCTCCCCTCCCTGTCACTCCTCACCTGGCTTGAGAAGGTAAGTGGGATGGTAGGGAATGGATATCCATATTCCAGAGCAGGAAGTGACTGGGTGGAATGGAGTGTCATCGAGTTGGCCACACGCCCACCCAGTCACACCGATTGTTAAATTATTGACTCCCGCTGTTTTCTTTTCTGTGGGAAATGGGTCCAAATGGGTCTTTGAGTGTTTAAGGTTGCAGACCCCTGACCTAGCTGTGGGGGCAAGCTTTATGGGGGAGTTGGAAGGAGCAGTGGCCAATTCCAAGGAGTCTTTTCCAACAGCTGTTCCTATATGTAGTTTTGAATACAGACGGCCAACAATGGTGTACTCTGATGTGCTGGCCGTGGCTCACAGGACTCCTGGGTTGAGGGTTTCCCAAAGAGCCCTAGATTTACTCCAGGCAAGGTTAATGCTAGCCCTGTGAGTGGCATGGTGGAGTTCTTGCCTCACAATCAGGAGGTTGCGAGTTTGATCCTAGGTAGAGGCAGATATTTCTCTCTCGGCGCGATGAGAATATAACTGCCGAATAAAACTCCGCATTGGTGACAGGAAGGGCATCCAGCCAGTAAACCCTCAGCTCCATTCAGTTGCCCAGATTCCACCTTGCAAGGGATTATGGGGTCATTAAAAGAAGATGATGAGAGCTAAAGCTAACCAGCTAACCAGAGCTAACCCTTTGGCTGTTGCGTTCAGCCCTTCTCTCCTGTCCTTTGTGAAAGGTACTCCCCCCCCCCCAGGAACAGAGGCCACCTACCCAAATTGCACAAATCGATCCTGGGGTTCAGTTTTTGGGGGACTTGCTGCTTTTTTGTGCTTCTCCTTAGGGGCAGAGGGTCAAGCCTCTCAGGCCTACCATCCCCCATGAATCCAGGGGTTGCCACGTCTGACTCTCTCTACCCTTCCCCCTGCAGTGCACAGCTAGGTGTGGTGAGAGGAGTATGGTGAGCCGAGACATCCGTTGCTCCGAGGAAGAGAGGCTGTGCGATGTCACCACCAAGCCAGCGGCTGATAAGAACTGCACTGGGCCGCCCTGCGACCGGCAGTGGACAGTCTCTGACTGGGGCCCAGTAAGTCTCTTGGGCAGAGGAGGAACTTGCTCACCAGGAGAGGGGCAGGCTGGGGTATTTGCAGAAGCAAATACGGCGTGGGTCATGAGAGAGAGAGAGAGAGACAGACAGACAGAGAGAAAGACAGCGGGGGCTTGGGAAATTTACAAAACTGTAAAATCACCTTGTTCAGTAGCCAAAAGGACCTTGAGTTGTTCCTTTTGCCTGTTTGCCAAGGCACAGCTGATGGTGGCTGCCCTCACAAGACACTGTTATGACCCAGGTGGTGAAGACAAAGTAGGCCTCTAGAGCAGGGGTCCCCAACCACCGGTCCGCGGACCGGTACCGGTCCGTGGAACAAATCCTACCGGGCCGCTGGTTTGCTGGGCGCCGCCATCTTGTTTTGATGAAAAAGTGCTTCCGGTGAGCTTTTCCGGGTAGAAAGCTCACCGGAAGCACTTTTTCATCAAAA